TTTTTGTGACATTGTGGAGGAATTCACTAAGCTTACTCAAAAAGGATCTGTTGAAGACTATCAAGAAAGGTTTGAGGAGTTACAACCATACATGCTATTACAGAATCCTACTTTGGGTGAGGATTTCTTTGTGTCACTTTTTATAAGTGGACTTAGAGAAGACATCAAACATAGAGTAAAAGCTTTAGATCCTAAAAATTTATCTGAAGCATGCAAACAAGCTAATAGATATTCATTTTCTTTTCGGATTATCACTTTTGCTCGAATGCTATTGTTTTTTATGCCTCTAATCTGATTTTGTAGACGGAATGCACGGAAGGCTGTCTTTTTACAGCATGGTATAATGGATTCATCTATGGGGTAAGTAACGACTTGCACTCTGCTTATGCACTATATTAAGCTACATGCTTGACCCTTTTGCGAGGGCAGTTCTTTTTTTTCAGCTATATTTGTCAATTAACTGGTATTATATTTGGTATTGTTCCAATGGATTCTCAAGAGAATTTTATTAACAACCCTGAACTATTATGCTTGATGTTGGTTTGCCATAAATTAACTATTTTACTGTTAATAGTATTTTGGATGATAACATTATCTGTATTTTGAAAATCAGGTTCTCAAATATAATTATATTTCTAATTGAGTGAACTTTTGTTCTGGAAGTTCAATTAAAAGCTAATGTTACTAGTATTTTGAATGATAACATTATCGGTTTCTTGAAAATCGGGTTCTCAACTATAATTATATTTCTAATCAAGTGAACTTTTGCTCTGGTAGCTTAACTAAAAGCCACCACTTTGTTTGAAAGTATCAAGCCCTAACCCCTAGTAAATGTAATTAGCTAGACGAACTATACTTATTCTCTTCTATCAAGAATGACAAGAGTACAAGACTTATTAAATCTGAAGAATTTGTTTCATTTTCTTCTTTTTCCTTTTTATATTTTGGGGGAAGGGTGGATTTGAACCTAGCTCCCTGAGCACCTAAACTGAATTACCTTTTCTGCAAGGAAGAAAATACCCCTCAACCATTCTAGAAGCCCTTGTTTGAATCCGTAATATTGAATGATGGGAAAAGAATGATTATTGTTCTCATTACAAAGTATATGAAAAACAGCTTACATATTTACATCCATTACTCACGTCTCAAGTTTGAAAATGAAGATTTCCATGAATTATGCTATTGTACCAGTATTTCTTAGGTATTATTTTAAGTGGTAGTGTCTCTAATATCCACTTTTCGGTCTAATGGTTTCTTTTTAGAGGGGGAGAAATATGTCTTTTGCAATAGTTCCACTATTTTATGCATCAAAGGAATCATTCAGTCATTATGCTTGGGATGCCATTCCCTAAATATTAGTACTTAGCGAGTTCTTATTTTTCTGATTTTGTCACCTTAGATTGTAATGATTTGAGGAAGAGGATCTATTGTACCTGTCTAGCTATTTTTAAATTAAATATCAGATCATTGGACCAGCATTTATATGGAATATATGATCTCGCATCTATTGAGGACTTGAATGCATACACGTGACATCAATTAAAATAATCCCTTTCGTTGTCTTCTTATTGTTATCATTGTCGAAACCTTCTTATTTACTGCTCCTACTACTAATAACTCCTTTTCCCTTTTTACTAAAATATTTCACTGGGGCAAGTTCTTATCTATTGATTTGTTTTTTTCAGTTGGGTTTCCAATGGTGTTGTTGGTTCTCCAGCTTTTGCAGCATTTGATCAAGGTTTATTTTACGCTTGAAACTCTGTGTCATTCATAGTACATTGGTATAAAATTGCAGTGAATGATGTTATTGCTTGAATTACAGGCTACGACGTATTCCTTGGGAATTTTCGTGGTTTAGTCTCTAGAGAGCATGTGGATAAAAATATCTCCTTAAGAAATTAAGTAAATATATGATTCTACTGTCATTATCTTTGGTTTATTATTTCTCAGACATTTGAACGGGAAATTGAAGAATTATGTATTTCAACTTGTCCTGTCTGTCACTAATGTGATCGCTAGGTAGGAGCACATTAATCCATCCAAGAATTATTTATCTATCTTTTACTTGTCACTAAAGCATGCTATTTTGAGTCAGATATTGGCGATTCTCCGTAATGAGCATGGGACAGAGGATGCTCCAGCTATGATAGATAAGATTCACGAAGTTAAGACTGCTGAATTGAAACTTAGCCAACCCGATGGAGAAATAAAAGATGAGAAGCCGTACAAACTTTGTGCAATCTCACATAGCATGGGAGGAGCTGCTATGCTGATGTATGTTATAATACGCCGGATCGAAGAGAAACATCACAGGCTCTCAAGATTGATTTTGCTTTCACCTGCAGGTTTTCATGACGAGACTAGTTTTTGCTTTACAATGGCACATTATGTTGGTCTTCTTTTGGCCCCTATCCTTGAGCTTTTCGTGCCTGCTACCAGGTTCTTTAGAGTGCTGTTCAACAAGTTGGTCAGAGACTTCCATAACTACTCTGCCGTTGGGGGACTGGTTCAAACTATATTGAGTTATGGCTTTGGTGGAGATAGTTCAAATTGGGTTGGGTTGCTGGGATTACCTCACTATAACATGAAGGACATGCCGGGTCTGTCATTTCGTGTGATCCACCAGCTCGCACAAATAAAAAGAACGAAGAAATTTAGAATGTATGATTTTGGGAGTGCAGCAGTCAATACGGAGGTGATGGATCGCCGGAGCCAATAGACTTGGGCAATTAATAGATATTCCGGTTGATTTGGTGGCTGGGCGGAAGGACCAGATAATCAGTTCATCAATGTTTTCAAAGCACCATAGGTTGATGAAGGATGCAGGCGTAAATTTATCATACAATGAATTCGAGTACGGACACTTGGACTTCACATTTGCCCACCACGAAGAACTCTTGGCATTCGTGATGTCACGGTCCAGTCTAGTCGGAGGAAGGCTCTTAAGTTGAGAAAGAGGGGACAGGCTAGCGCTCAAGTCTCCTCTGATTGATCGAGTACCATCCATTTCCATGTGTTTTTTTTTCTTTTGGATTTGGCATGTATCGGTCGATGCTTTTTGTTGTATGTGAATGAATAATTGGATGATGTTGTAATTAGTAAAAGAAAGCGTATATCTTATTATAACTGACATGCACACTTGGATCTAATATCTTTTGAATGCATACATTCCTCAACTACGAACCGAATTTTGAATCCTTGTATATGATCTAAACTGAACCTTGTTCTATGACTAATCGAACCGAAACCGAAATTTGAAGAGAGAAAGGAGGACACAAGCTGCGATAGATAGACAGGATTTATTCAATCACACAGTTTGATGGTGCTATTAGAACTCCCAAAACATCCAATAAACTCTTGTATTTCTCTATTTTCCACAAACAAATCGTTTACGATGAAAAACATAAATTTCAAGATAATGATTTAGACTAATATTCCATTCCATCTTATAATTCATAATCAAATCCTAAACAAAGAAAAAAGTTTTTGAATAATAAAAGGAATAGAGAATTGTTCAAAGGGATTTTTTTAAAAAAATTGTTAGAAATGATTATAAGGTAATATGTGTTCAAATGTTTTCTTCGTCTACTAATAATGTATAAATCTTGTAAACGCAACTGCTCAAATCCCAAAATTTCTGAAAATGTTAAAGAATTATTTAATTAAATAATTCTTTAAATTAAATTAAAACAACTTAATAATTATTTGTATATATATTCAAAATGGCTTTCAGCCATATACTAACAAGGAAAGTGAGATTTTATAGTCCAACGTGTAATCTTCCAGCCATATTTTTCTAAAATGACTTTAAGCTATAAGTAAATTTTTTCGACTCAAACTTATTTTGAATTGTAATTTCATAAATTCGAGTCGACTCGAAAACATTTCAAGTTCATATTAAGTTATAAAATACAACTCAAATAACTCGAAATGTATATTAATTAGTGAATTGATTTTCAAGTTTGAGTCGAATCACTCGACTCTGTATGATATATGTATATCACATATGAAAAAAATAAAGAAATATATATGTATTGTATATGGCTATAAAATCATTTAAATTGGAATAAAATAATATCATAATACTATATATATTTACAATTAAATTTAAACAGGAACTCGAAAACTCAACTTGACTAAAAAAAATCAAATCAAGTTCGAGTTATAAAATAAGACTTGTCTACTCGAATAACTCAAATTTTTTTAACTTCTCTCGACTCGATTCGATTGAACGTTCACCCATTACCAATAAAGCAGATTTTGTTCACTAGACGTGTATATATATGCATGTGATAGAACATTATTATTTTATTTTATTTTGAGAAAATATATATGTTAAATAATTTAATTAAAGAGAGTATATTTAGATTCAACCTTAAATATTATTTTAAATTAAACATGGTTCAAGCATTTGATTAAAATTTATAAAAATAAAAAATAATTGATTAAACCCATAATAAATAAAAATTGATTCAATTCATTATTTATCAAGATATGATTTGTTGGATCAGTTTGAGAGTTGATCAAATTAAATTAAATTGAATTCAAATTCAAATTCAAATTCAAATTCAAACAAAAATATATTAAACTGAGATCTAGTTAAGTAATTTGTAAATCAATGTAATAAAAAAATAAAGGATAATTCAAGTTGGAATTTTTTCCTTTTAAATGTCACACTGATTTAAAGATAAGACTGAATTCTAGAAAAAGCAGAAAAAAATCATCATTATTAGTATTATTATTGTTAAACAGATCAACATCATTCGGCATGTAATATCTCTGGTCAAAGCACTCATAAGACTAACAAAGGTTAAACTAAACCGGATTAAATAACTTTTGATCCTTAAGCTTGGTATTTTTTTATAATTTGATCCTAAATATATTTTGTATTCACATTGAACTTCGAACATGATTTTTTAATTATTTTGATGATATAACACTGAGATTGTACAAAATTGTTTTATCTCAAACTAAAATGTGGAGTGGATTCTTTTGCATGTTTTGCAAATAAATCAATCTCAGATATGCTCAAAAGGCAGGGTGCATTCAAGACAAGTTTCTCATTCTCAAACATCTTGAAAATGGAAAACTGAATAACAAAAATTCTAAGAAATTGCATGACACATGATTGTACTGAAAACAGAGTTGCAAGTGTATTTAGTCTCACCTATATGAGCAATTAGGCCAAAAGTCGTGGGAATCTCCGTCCAAATAAGGAGAGAAATCGAAAGAGACTCACGGGTCGTGCCGTTTTATAGAAGCATAGTGAAGACCCTTGATGCCGGAGCCAACCTGATACAACCCCAACTTGAACCAAAGGACGACCAGGAAGTTTTCTCAGTTTTGGGCTTCAACTTCCCTCTAGAAGAGCTCTTCTCTGGGGGTTTAAAAGCAAAAGCTGCTGCATGTCGTTTGGAAGTACGTTGAACACTGCCTGTAGATCACCTTTCAGTTTCTCGCACATTGCTGCTGAGTCTGATTCCGCCCTTCCAGATTGCGACAGCTGAAGATCACATTCAACAAATGGTTTTAAAATCGTTAACTGTGCCCCAGTAGTCATGTATAAATTTAACCATGAAAGCATTAAATACGTAATTTGAGCAAAACAATATTTATAAAGGACATACATGATGGATGCAAATATGAATCCTGTATCGGTAATCAGGCTTTTTTGGGGCAAAAATGAGATCACCTCATGGAAGACACAGGCTTTAGTTACAACATGACCAAGAGAGAACTCTTCCAGCAGCATATCTTACTATGCGTTTTAAACTAAAACAAGGTACACTATGATTCCACTAGAATTCTCTTGTTTTTGTTGTTATTGTAACATATACAAATAAGGGGAAAATAAAGTAACAAAGAATACTTTTATGACATGAGTCAGTAACAATGAATTTCACTTTCACATTGGCGAATCATCGCTCTCACTTAGGCAATTTTTTGTGTGTCCATGCAACGTGCATGGGTGGTGGAATACTCATTAGTTGAGATTGAAGATATGATTGTAAACTAGAAAGCATCTGGTATTACAAGATAGAAGACAATATATAAATGATCAACGAATATCTTGGCAAATAAGCAGTCATGACAACTTACCCAAAATACATGATAAATTCTTAGAATTCCTTCTATAGGCACTGTTAAAAAAAGAATTTTGATGCCAAGATTTAGAACAGCTTTCTTAATACAAGAATTGGATGCTAGAAAGAATTCGTTTACAGACACTACAATCAAGCCAGATAAATATTGAGCATATTATATAGTAGCCAAAGGGACGAATGATGCCATCTAAGAGCTGAATGAGGAAGAAATGCGGGGTGACAAAACACAAGTTTGTTTGAATGATAATAGTGCCGATGCATGGTCTATTGGCACATTTAGGGAAGAGGGGAGGGGGGATCATTCAAGACAGGAGTTGCTACATTAAGCTGATCACTGACGAACAAATGACAAGAAAGAAAGTCAGATTGCAAAATTGATGGTTGGTAAACTAGAGCTGCCGGCAGAAGACACAGGACGACATAAATGGTGAAATGAATCATTCAAAACCCAAAGAGAGCAGGAAAAAATCATCAAAACAAAGTTGAGCATAAGCTTCTTCAACCAAAACATCAAACCTAGTGAAAATTTACACCTTTTTATTTGTTATTTTGTTAATTGCAATATGCTTTTGCCGACTTTATGCTTCCAAAAGCAAAAGGCACGTTATTTTAATTCCACAAATAATCATTTTATATGAATTAGGGTTTTCTTTGAACTATTTGGCATTTGCTCATTTTGGCCAAATATTATTTGTTGTATCCAACATGCTTTTGCTTTATATCAAATGAAAAGATGAAACAGCAGCAAAGTTAGACTGCTAAAGTTAAAACATAAAAAATAAAAAATAAAAATGACAATCACATTTGTGTTGTCAGGCCCAGTTAGGTTTAAAGGCAATACGTGCATAGACAATTGCAAGCCTAGTTTACACAGAACGGTTAACTGAACTCCTGCTCCACCTTTAATAAATGTTGAACTATGCAGTCCAGCACCACGCAATTACTCGCTCCAAATTCTTCATCGAGTCATTCATATATTCTCCACTTTCTTTTTTTTCTATTTTCGTCTCTGGCCTTTAATTATTTCTAGTACTAACTCTAAAAATATTACTTTCTGTCGTGTCCTTAAATTTCCTTGTATCTGTAAAATTTCACCTTTTTAATTGTATAAAATGTTGAGATAAAAAGATAAAAATAAAAGGAACCCAACCCTCCAACAAACCCAAATGAAAGTAAACGAAGTAAAAGTGATCAGCGATTCTATTATTTCTTTGAATTTTACTGATTTGTTACTTTAGCTATCAACATGTTAAAGACATAAAATGAAGCATTAATATTTGGATTCAAAGGCTGTTTGGAATCTAGCTATGAAAATTCTTATTCAGTAAGATTCCTCGTATTCTGATTTTCAATGGAGAGAAAAAGATGGGGAAGGAAAACTAAGATTAACATAGAGAGAACTACATTAAAAGAAGAAGTTCATGAAGATTCGAGAGCTGGAGTCTTGGATACTTGAAATAAGAAAAAGGGAGGAATGAGAAAAAAAGACGGCAAATGTTAAGGAAAGAAAGAGTCGAAAGGGGAACAATGTCTATGTGCCAACATGTATCAGGAGCCTCTATTCCAGATTAACTGTGCCCTCGGACTAATTAGCATTTCTCCAAGCAGATTACTCTTAATAGCATTGAAGCAATCAATAAAACATCTAATATCATCCTGAAAAGAGGGGAAATTACCTGTATTTCTCCAAGAAGATGCCTCTCAATAGCATTAAAGCAGTCAACAATTTCCAACTCAGGCATTCTAGATATAAGGAGATGTATTTCAGTCTTCATTCTTGCCTGCCTCCACAATCTATGTTGTTCATTTTCTGCAACAGCAAGTCGTCTTTGGAACCATGGCATAAAGTTGGGTCCTTTAAGAAAACGCCTGAACGCAAAGAGAATGCATCTCTAACTCAAATGAACAATTAAAATAGACTGTAGGAACCACAGATCGCATGTAAAAGCTGGATGGCAAAATAAACATGCACTAGCAATACACATAAAAAAGAAACCAACTAATAAAGCTGAGAAGTGGAAGCAAACATTCACGTTACCTATACAGGTCCAGCCAGTTAGATCTCATACGCTTGGATAGAAACTTGCCCACCCCTCTTGCTGATAAGCTCATAAGAAAATCATCAGCATTAAATGGAGGCAGTGGAGGGGGGTCATCAAATGGTGAAGATCCTTCAGAAGGAGTAGTAGCCCTAAAATAAGGTCCAAAAGGAGCCAAAAAGTTGGTGGTGAGTTCCAAGAAGTGTCGACGTAATATCTCATTATTAACAACAGACATAGATTCCTCGACCCTTGGAGACATCCCAGCATCAATAAGCCTATTCAAGATAGAAGTGTCTGGTTTTGTAGTCGCGACATAAGTGCTCCAAATGGCCTCCTTATGTTCAGTCATGAGACAAAGTGGGCCATCTCTCCTCAGCCTCACAGCATTCAACAAACTAGAAGGAGAGAACTTCTTCAAGGAAAGCTGTTGAAGACCAAATCCTTCTGGTTTACCAGGAATTCTTCCAGTGGACCTATTTGCAATGGCAACCCTACTTGAGCTTGGTGCAGGGCTTCCAACTGACACAATGTGTGGGATATTGCGAAGAGCTTTGAGGAAAAAAAGATTTGTGACACCCAAAACCATAGGTGGATATCGGTCCCCTTCTTGAAGTCCGTTCAATTGAGCAAAATCAGGATCGTGGATGGTAAAATATGGCCTAAAGTCAACACTACAAAGTAAAGGTGCAACTAAGCTGACAAGACTTGCAACAGCCTCACAGCATTGTGGAGGAGTTGGTGCTATGATAAGAATTGGCTCACCAATAAGTAACAACTCCCACAATAACCAAAGTTGCAATAAAAGCCCTCTGAATGTTCCAAAAATATCAAAATCATGAAATAGACCTTGAGGCACTGATTGATTATTGGGAAGAAAGGGAGCCATAGATGAAGCAGATTCCTCATATGACATTCCACTTTCCAAAGGTAAGCTGTGAGCAGGTGGCAAGGTAACTTTAAGCATTGCATTCCCAATTGGAAGCTCCATTAATTTACCAGGTACGGGACTATGCCACAAGGAAACGTAACCAACAATATGTTCAATAGCTTTTCTTCCTATATCGAAGTAAAGAGGACCCATGATTTGTAACAAAGGCCTAAACACACTAGAGTAAGGTCCATGAGACAAAATTACTACAGATTTTTGTTCCCCACCTCGTTTTAGCCTCTCATCATGCCTTTGCCTATTGAATACATAACCATACAAGTATTTTGAAGTTCTACTGCCAATACTTCTTGACCTCCGAATCAAATTCTCCTCTTCTGGTGTTGAGGTTGTTTCTTTATCATCAATTTCAGTTATTTCAGATGAAGTAAAATTGCCCCGTTTAGAGTGTTTCTGCCTTTGGAATCGAAAAAAGAATATGCAATCGTGGATACTAGAGCGGTTCTGGTGCTGCGAAACGGAATCCGGAAACGAGCTAAAAGCAACCTCAAGTTCCTCTTCTTGAGTGAGACTACCAAGTGGATAACAGTCTTCTATGAGCTGACCTTGTTCGAGGTCAAATCTAACGATACAAAAGGCAAAAACCCATCGTTGCAAAGCATCCGGATCAGCTTTTAAACTAAGCTCTGACTTCACAGAAAATGAAGGGGATCGACTCATTTCCAAGTGTTTTTTCTACAGCCTCCCTCCTCCCTTATTAACCAAAAAGACCAAATCTTAATCATCTTCAGCCACCATTTCCATTATAGTTCCATGAAAGTTAACTCATTAAATGCCAAATTAATCAATTAAAAACAGCTCTCTTCTTTCAGAAGTCCTGTAAGCATAAAGAAAAAAAACAATAACTACAGTAAATGTTTATTTCGTTACTAAACAAAATTGGGGCCGGGGGGGGGAGGGGGCTAAAGCAACTAAACTGCATAAATTGGGTGCAGTTTCAATGTCACAATTGCATCCTAAACAAATAATTGAACCAAAAACAAAGTTAACAAAAAATTAACGAGCACAAAAAAAAACAAGGACCTAAAAAAATGGGCAATTGAAACTTACCAAAATGGAAAACCCAGAAACAGTTGTCGAAGAAATCATCTGGATCGGAGGAGATACGAGTTCCAAATTGGCCAACAACAGATGGGTAGTCGTTAATTTTCTGAAAATTTGAATAAAAAAAACGAGTTTTTTTTTTTTTTGAGATTTGATTTTGTTTTGCTTCGAAAACCGTACCAAAATTCCCAATTATTGAAAGTATAATTTACATTAACCTAACTTTGATAACATACTGAAATATTACAATGGCGGATTGGAACAGGTAATCTAATTCCGGTTATATTTTTCAGACGGAAATTTGATGTCTCTTTCTTCAATGCCGAATGTGTGCTGCTTCCAAACTGGGAATCGCGAAAGGTAATGGTGTATGTAATCTTGTGATAATAAAAGGATTTATTTTTAAGTTCAATTTCTCATATGTGAATAAAAAAACATTAACTTCTATTTTTCATTTATTATTATGGTAAAATAATAATTTAAAAAAGTAATCGATTTTAATGTTACAAATTAATTAACTTTTTAAATAAAATTATTATAATTTATTTATTTAAATTTAAACATATCATTTGAAGTTTTAATATATAAATTATGTATTAGTTTACATATAATCATTTATTATATTTTTTTATAAATAAATAAATTTTATTTAAATATTTTTAATAGTATATCTATCTATATTTATTATAAAATAATCGAATGAATCAATATCATAAATTATTAAAAATATTAAAATAACTCGATTTAAAAACAATTAGAGTAGTCCTAGTTTTCTTTCTAAGCTGGTTCTCTAGTTTGAATATTTTTGTGACAATTTTATCCATCATTATGATAATATAATGTTTTGTGTTGCATTCATTACAACGCATCTCCTGATAAAAGAAAGATCGGTTATCTCATATAATTAGATCTTATTTTGCGATAATTTATCGATGCATTCAAAAATGTTTATGGAATAATATGTTAAATTAATCATCTCAATATTGACGTATATAGCAATATTGCGTCTAACTTTGAGTAGAGTAAACGAGATTGTTGATAGTTGCTATGTTTCGAATAGAGATGAGAAGATTATTGTGTTGTCTTTGTTGTATTTTTTTATTTAATTAAAATATATTTTTTTGTTAAAAGATAATATGATTTAAAAAGATAATTATCATTTTATATTTATATATAAATATTTAAATAAAAAAATTCTTTAAAATTTGACAAACATTCCTCCAACTTATCTTTTACAATTTGAATTATCAACATATAATAAATTATTACTATGTTAGAGTTATATGAAACGTCTATTTTATTTTATAATATCGATTAATTCAAACCACAGAAAGGAATAATTCTTATAATATTTTTGTTGTTTATTCCTTTCAATATTTGTGGGTTTTCTTAATTGGGAGTGGAACGCTGAACCACTTTGTGTTGGGCCACGCGCTGGCTGCTGTTTCGAACAACGCAAACCATGCCCAGTTGAACATTCATAGATCTTTTCATGAACAACATATAAGACAAAAGGAGCCGTACATATAATACAACATTTTTGCCATCATTTCCACTTAATAATGTTGATGGAATGGAGGGTGTGACATTATTTTCATCCCATCTTATAATAATAAATTTAAAGGATAAAATAAAATAAATATTAATTAATTCGTGGTCTAACAAACTAAAACATAAAAAAAATTTAAATGTTATTTAAAGATTAAATTTGTATACTATAAAAATGATAAATTAAATAAAAACCATTCTTATAATAGATATTTACATATTTAATTTTAATCTATCGGATGTATAATAATTGAGAATTATGAGCGAGAGACAATAGGAGTAAGAAAGTGTTGATTCATTGTGACCATTTTTGTTGGTACGACAATACAAAATTACCAAATTTAGTTCAGTGTGAAGTTAGTGACTCCAATATATCTAAGACTCCGTTTGGTTCACGTCATATTTCATTCCCGGAAGGAATATTTTTTTCCGGGTAAATATACCCATGTTTGGATGGTCTACATTCCCAAGTGCAGGGAATGAATGAATACCAACAGTGGTATTTTTTTCATGTTTTCCCGGGAATGTCATACCCCACCTCTCTTAGGTATTTGTTTATTCCCGGTCCCGTTGTCTAAAGTACCCTTCTCCCCGCTTGGTTATGGCTGATAGAAAATTGTGATGAAGAGAATGTCGATGCAGCTGTTTCAAGCAGATGGAAGCTTAAGTCAGAAATATATGTTCATTCGGAACTAATGGATTTGTTGCATAAAGACATCGGTGGAGATGAAAGAATTGCTGCTAAGCTTCCAGTATTCATTGGAAAGAAATGGCGATGAACTAAGAAGGTATATAGCTTATTTGAGTACTTTGTGTTGTGCGGTCTCGGCCCTGAGATGCGAACATCGGATGGGATCAAAGGGTACCAGGGAACCGAGTACATGTTTTTGCCTTATCTCCTAGACCAGTATCCGCCTCTCAATCATATCATCTATCCACCTCCTCCTCAACTCTCAATTGTAAGTCCCCTCCTGATTTCCATAATCATTTTCCAATTATGAATCGATTTTCCCAATTCTTTGTCTCTGTGTTTGCTTCGTCTCCAAGTGCAAGCCAAGGTTTGTGTTGTTGCGCCCCACTTTTACCTTTTCATCTCATTCTGCAAGTCTAAACTAGGTCTTCTTTCTCACTCTCTCTTTGTAAGGAGTTCATTTTTGGATTTCTTTTCTGAGTTTTAGGGCATAATCAAACTGAGTTATAACATAGATTTCTTTTCTGGGTTTTGGTTGTTCCGTTTCAATCTTAAGCAAATCCTTAGCTTTGTTCATGGTTTAACCTTGATATTAGTTATTGAATTGTTTGTGAAGTAAAACCGTGTAGAATCATGAAGAGTTTTTGATACACATTGCAAATCAAAACACTAACCAAACAATTAGTTTAAAAAGTTAAAAAAATGTTCATAAAGTGATGCCCTTTTTCATTTTGATAGCAAAAACATTTTCTTGTGTTTCCTTTGCTGATCAGTTTTATGTTTTAAGTTCGCTTTTATGTTGGGTTTTGAGATTTTTGACACAATTTTCTAAATTTTGAATCAGGGAATTTGGTTTGGGCAGTCGAGGACTACAATTGAGCTGTTGTGTTTAATAATCTTATAGAGGCTGATATATCAAAGTTGTCTTTGGAAAGAAGATTCTTTTAGCTCTTTTAACTTCTGTTGGGATCAATCTTGGTCTTTGCTTCTTCTTTTTCACTCTAAATTCGATATTGAGGAACCAACCAGGTAATATCATAGTATATTCGCTCTAAACTCTAAACCGTAAGTCCCCCAGATTTTCATAATCATTTTCGAATTATGAATCAATTTTCCCAATTCTTTGGATCTGTGTTTGCTTCGTCTCCAAGTGCAAGCCACTTCCATAATACGATTCATGTGTTTGCCTATTGAATATGATTCATGTGTTTGCCTATTGAATAGATGCTCTAAACTCTAAATTGTAATTCCAACTTATATTGCACCCGAAGTTCTTTCTCGGAGAGAATATGATGGCAAGGTACTTTAGTCTCTATCTACTTTTGTTCAAATATTGTTGATAGTGGCTTGTTTACGAGGCTAGGTTTTTCAGTTATGATTGTATTATTATGCTAAATAGTTTTATGATGGAGTAGTTGATGCCTTAACTTACTGTTCTAAAAAATAAAGATAGATAGATGTTACTTGATAATATTTTAAGAATTGTTGAGGGTGATTATAAGCTTGGTTAAAGATCAATTGCTCATAATATTTATCAATTGATTGGATATCTACTAGTAGTGCACTTTATCATGAAGGTTTTCATTTTAACGATCATGAAAGCAATAGCTCCTAAGATATTTGGCAAAGAGAAACTGAGGTCTGGATTTCTTTTAAGTCTTTCCAAAGCATAGATATAAAGTCTTCTCATTTTCTGTTTCTGATTAATTTTAGGATTGTATTCCTTTTTCATATGGCAGATGTATGGTCATGTGGAGTGACTCTTTATGTTATGTTGGTTGGTGCTTACCCGTTTGAGGACCAGGAGGATCCAAAGAATTTTAGGAAAACTATTAGTGTGAGCTACAGACTTCTGAACATCCATTTTTTAACTATCCTCGATCATCTAATTTCTTTATGATTTCTAATGTTCTTTATTTTATTTGCAGAGAATAATGTCAGTTCAATACTCCAGCTTTGTGAATTGCAACTATAGTGATTGTAAGCCCTTATGCATTGAATAGATATGTGGATTCCATTGTCGATGAGTTGTTGAGGGAAGATGAATCTATGTCCCTGTTTTGTCACTATGCTTTTGGACAAAAGTCGATTCCTCCGACTGGCAATGCAACTTTGATCAAACAGGTAATTAACTAAGAATGATTTTGAAGGATTAGTAGTTGATATAGTTAACCTGACTTTTATCTTTGCTGATGTTTTTCAAATTATGGATTTGATAGATTGTTAATGAATGCAAAGTACTTCCATTGGCACTTAAAGTGATTGGAGCTTCCTTGCAAGACCAACCAGAAATGTAATGGATAAATGCAAGGAAAAGGTTATCACGAAGAACAAATCTGCGAGTCTCATGAAAGTAAATTGCTCGATCAAATGGCAATCGGTTTCGAGTACAGTAACAAAAATGACTTCCGTAGAAATAAAATCCTGATTAACACAGTCTAAGATGAACGTTGCCAATCACTATTTGTATTAAACTTGGGAGTTTGTACAAAAGTGGAACGGATACAATTTTATTTTTCACAGGAAAGTGTTTGTAAAACAAGTTCTTGTAATGGAATTTGTAAGAAATACAATATATATTTTCTATCATATCTTAAGAATGTGAGTGTTTTGTCGTAGATTTTAACTGAAATGTGAACGTTTTCAGGCAAATGGACCAGCTAGCATCATATCCATAAAAAAAGAACATATCCATAACTATGTAATGTTAACATTACAGAGTGGAAAACATGTAAACAAGACAAGCTGCAACAGTTAACCACTAGAAATTAATCACTAACATTTAATTCTAGAAACACCTTGTTTACATTGCATCCCTATAAATGACATGGTTACCAAGTAAGCTCTAATCTCGTGTTTTGTCATATTTTCTTTTTCCAAATAAAGGTTGTATCAACACTGTCAAAACAATTATCAATCGGTTAACATCTCCATGCACAGGAAGCGACAATAGCTCGATTCATCCAGCCGAGATAAAGAACATCATCTCTCTCTTCAAGTGTATACTTGTCACAATAGCTTTGCAGCAAAGTTTTGATGGTATTGTTGACGAATGAGCTTAATGGAGAGGGTGTAAATCCAGCCATAATAAACCTTGATCTCCATTTGCCTAGAAGTTCATGACGTTCCACTCTTTCAAGCCCTTCGCATGCTATAATGTTGACGATCTCCCGGGCCAGATAATGATGTTCAGTTTTGATTCGCTCCTTGTGTTAATATAAAATTTTAATATATTTTTATATAAATTATGTAAAATTTAATATTAATTAAAATTAAAATAATAAATTATATATTTAAATGCTCAAGTAATATATTATCGATGAATTTTCATATAAATAATTTTTATTTAAATATTTAGAATTTTACTTGTTAAAAAATATAGAACAAGGACAATTTGGTAAAATATACATTCCAATAATCTTTTATTCCTTCAACCAAACACTGTAATCTTACATTCATGCCAAACCAACCAAACAAAGTAATGTAATATTCACAGTAATCTTATTCCCTGGTAATCTTTTATTCCCACTGGTAATCTTACATTCCGTGAACCAAACACACCCTAAATGTTTTTGCTTCTAATGGAAAACGGTTCACCCACTCAAGAACAGACTCAAACGTAGACGACTCTAAACCCACGACGATTTTTTTCTACATTTAATTTATTATCGTCTCTTTAGTGGTATCATTTCGTTTAAAATATATTTTTAATTATATGTAATATATAAAAAACCTTACATCCTGTTCGCTACATCAAACGATTAATGTCAACAATAATATATACATTATATCAATTAATTGAATACATTTTCAGAGATTCAAAGTTTAAAAGAAATTATAGTCAGTGTTATTGAAAATCTTATGAAAGTGAAGATGATACAATGTTTTTGTAACTAATTATGTAGAATCAAACACTCATGATGGCAATAACTCTTCACAATTTTTTGTTACAGTATGAGAACGCAACATCAAGACTTTTTGATGCAATAAGAAAAGTTAGAGATGAAATACAATTAGATTAAGAATAAAACAACAATGTAATCATATTTTATTGAATTGTCCTAGTTATATTTGTAATTTTTTAGAATTATTAATTTATAATATTAAAGGGATCATAAATTTATATAAATGGTGTTATGGAAAATTATTATCTTATTAAATTATAAAGATTTTACTATATAAGTACTTTTTTAATTTATTAAATAAATTTAACAAAAGACAAGTTAGAGTTGAATTAAAATTAAGGTCGGTGAGACTAAAAAATATCAAATAAAATTAGTTTATAACTAACTTGTATAAAATATAAGAAAAATGTTATGGAGCATAAGTTGTTATGAAAGATGAATAGAATGTTGAAGTGTGAAGAACTAAATTGTTATAAAATAAAAATGAATATTTTTAGGTGAGAAGAAGCAGGTCATGATGGTGAGAGAAGGTAATTGGGAACAACGGAGGGCAAAACTGGTAAGACGTGGGTTAAGAAAAAAGCAGAGTTATTGAAATTTAGGTATTCCCATTTAATAGCGGATAAGAATGATTCTATTGGACGGCACAGATTTTGGTGTTATATATTGCGATTTCCTATTGTCTAGGGTTTCTCGAGGAATTCCCCATAACGCCCAGAACCACCACAACCACCTCTACCCGTCTACTCTTTTCTTCTTTATGTAGATTTTTACGACTAAAGTTGTCTTCATATTTGTTTCTTCTTTCAAGTTTATATTTAATTCGTGTTCTATTAAATTTTTAATATTATATTCGTATTTATTTATTTATTTTTAAAGGTGTTCATATTTATTTATTTAGCGTTTGTGAGTATGTTCATTTAATATTTGTAAATATGTTTGTTTAAGGTTCGTTTAATGTTAGACGACCAAAACTATCTTTTTTACCTTTTTATTTGAAAGTCAAAGAAAAATAGTAAAATTACACCTCTAGTCCTTTAATTTCTTAGGTTTCAACTTTAACTCCAAAATTCAACTTATATTCAATTTTGTCTATTCCTTCACCAACATTTAAAATATAAAAAATAAAAGGAAAAGGAGAACCAAGTAAATAAGCTTATAAACTAGTTTATTCATGAACATAAACGAACCGAACAATCATATATTCGCGTTCGTTCATTTATTAAATGAAAATACAAATTTTGTTTATACTGTTTGTTTAGCTTAATAAACGAACAATTTGTCAAACGCTCTGTTCATTTACGCCCCTATAAGTTTTATCATCATATACCCTACAAATGCAATTGTTTGAACCCAATTCGTTTAGAGAAAACTGTAATACCCCAAATTTTGACAAATGACCAAACTGTAAATTTTGAAAGTTTGATGACTAAAGCATAAACTTGGAAGAGTTTAGGAACCAAAGTGGTAATTTTTCCAAAAAGAATTTTTATTTCATAAATGAATAGTTTATCTTTAAAGATCGAGTTTTTATGAAATTCATATTGTGATCTAGGATGAGTAGAAAAAGTTATAAAGTGACAAAGTTCGGTAAAAAAATCGGATAATCGGATTGAATCAAAATTTTACGAAAATTTGAAGAATTCTATAATGGTTGGAAATATTATTTCCATATTTTAGAACAGAGAAATTTAGCACATACTAGTGTAATTTTTCATGTTTGGACTGAATAGTGGAATTTTAATGATTAAAATGTAATTTTTGAAAATTAAATGGTCAAAATAGAGAGTCAAAGCCAAGTTAATTCATATTTGACTAAGGAATATTTTAATGGAGGATAATGTAATGATATTTGGTAATTATCAAATTTCATCAATGGTCTTTTTGTAATTTATCATTAAATGAATTATAAATCCAATTATATTATTATTAAGACAAGTGTAAAGGTGAATAAATACTAAAATAAACAAGAATTTAGTATATTTTTTAGTCATTTTTCTTTCTTTGGCTTAAACATACCTAGCTATCAAGACCACGGTAAATCTAGTGATCCAACTAGCTCGAGAGGGAAGGAAAACGTATGAGAGCGAGAAGGTTGTCGTGGACAAGGTTCGATAGCGAGACAAATGTGAGTGCATTTAATTTGTATTTATGTTATCAAACAAACATTGGCTTGTGATGAGCCAGTGTCAGAATTACTGCAATAAAAAATGATTTCTAATGTTATATGAATTGTTGATTTTAGCCTATATGTTCATTTATTAAGTTTATAGAATTAAAGGAATGAATTAAGGATGCAAATTAGGGAAAATTGTCTAGAAATTATGAATTGAATAGTAAGTTTAGAAATTCACAATAAATTATATAGAAATGATTAGAAAATAATTTTTATACCATTGAAATTGTATATCAGTCTAGTTTTTTTCTAAAACAAACGACTTTTGATTTTGAGGTGTATATGAAAGGATGTGAATTTTTAATCGAGGATAGATCAGAAATTAGGACTGAATATTCTGCTCAAAACAGTTTTTGTGAGTCAGTTTTGAAAATTTGCTATAAATTGTACAAGTTAAACTAGAAAAAGTGACTTATATGGTTAGATTTGTATTCGACTATAGTTTTCATTGGTATTAACGGAATAAATTTTAAGTACGTATATTAATACATAATAATACTTCTTTGAAGGTAGTTCAAACTGCCAGAGCATGGAATTTTGATAAAATTGGATCGTTGAAGCATTTGAGAACAAATGATTAATTTTAAAGCTTAGAGAGGCTTATATTTTGACTTATGAGCAAAGTTTCAAAGTGAATATAATTTATTATTTAATTAATTTGATTGAGGACGACTTGTGATAAGTCAACCTCGTAATTATTTTCAAGTGTATTTTCTGTTTTAATTATGGGATATTTCCATAGTGTTTACATAAATATTTTTATAGGTGATATAGAGTATGAACTACCCAAGTACAAATTTTATGAGAAAGAATTCTAAATATTTATGATTTTCAAACGTTGATGAATAAATGATTATAATATGAAATTAAAAGTCCATTGTATGTTACATTGAGAGTTGTAGGTATAATTGGCGTGCCATTAAGTGATTACTTGTCAGTTTCCAGTTATATGCGCCGTTGGTACTCATGTTATAATTGCACTAAAGTGCATCATATGTTTAAGTTTAAGTTACGATTGGCACTAAAGTGTCCAGTGTGCATTCTATTCACATACTTTGCATTCTCATAAATATACAATGGGTTATAAAAATGAAAATAAAGAAAGTTCTGAAAGTGGCTGAAAGGAAAAAGAATATGAATACAAAAAATGAAAGTTCTGAAATGTGTCTGAATGGAAAGTATATGCAAAGTATACTATTGATGATGTTGATTATTGTTATTTTGATAAAATTATGAGACCATGATTTTCAGGTTTCTGATGAAGAAAAATATGGCTTGGAAAGTTCGGTTTGAAGTTTTAAAGATTTTATTTACATTTATTTTTATGTCTTAAATTATTTATGACATTCTACTGATATAGTTCACTATGATTTATTTACTTGCCTTACTTAGTTTTACTTAGCGCGTGAAAATTTTTATACGTAGGGTCGAATAAAGTAGAGGGCGTGAAGTGAGGAGATTACCAACATCTTATGGAAATCAAACCTACTGATAGAATCGGTAAGACATCCTAACTTTGGCTTATTAGAGGCATTTACATTATATTTATTGGGTTGCTTTATCAAATTTATTCTAAAAAGGGTATGTAATAGTAATTTAGGAATGCTTTAAATTTTAGTTAATTTTAGATATAATCGTATTTAAGAATAAATATTATGGAGGGTTTTAAATCAAGCAATATTAGACAATTTAATATATATACGAAATAACATGGAGCTGTCCAATTGCTCCATAAAATCAACTTTGCTTGGAATGATAAAGTATGATATTATGATTATGCATGTTAAAGGAAACAACTTTTAAATTTGAAAAAAAGGGATTGTTATAAATGAAACAAAATTTTAAGCATTTATGTTCAAAAAAATATTTATTAAATTGATGTGACATCTTTAACTCGTAATACGAGACGCATATGAGTTATGAGTATTACAAAAACAATATTTTTTTTTACCACTAAAATCACTCAATAAATTTCTAATCAAAATTAAAATTTTAAATAGAAATAAATTCTTTTCAATTTTATATTTACAATATTTAAATTAAAGTTTATTTGTAAGAGTCTTATTATGTATCACATCCAAATAGTAACAAATTCATATATATATATATATCATATACTTGTACCACTAAATGTGTTCATTATTAACTTTCTAAAAGTTAAAATTTTTAACTTTGGCCATGATGATTTTAAATATTTTAGACAGTTAAATTTTATAAAATATGTATTTTAAAACTAATTGATTTAAAGTTTTTAAAATATAATTTTTCATATTTTTATCAATAATAAATTTTAAATAATAATGAATCAAAGTTAAAATTTTTCAATAAAAAATCAATAATAGACAAATTTAATTAAACATAGAGGTATTTAAAACTAAAGATACAATCACAATCACAATTACAATTATAATTACAATTACAATTACAATACAACATCTAATCGGTAATAATAAAAAATTAATCATTGTAATATAATCATATTAATAATTAATAAAAATAAATTTGAACTCAAATTTTTATATAATATTCACATATAATAAGGTTCAAATAATGAATTACAAACATATAATTTTTTAGCTTATTTAGTAGTATTAGATATTTATTGAATTTAATTTAAGTAAACATATAATGAGATTGAAACTATTATATTAAAAGTTTGATGTTAAAGAAAGTAAGTATTTATATGAGTGGTATGAAATAAAAATGGTTAAAATGTAATTAGAAAACCAAAAGGCTAAAGGGATAAGCACGCGTGGAAGAGGGGAGGGCAACAAAAACAATAACATTGGTGGGTAAAGATAGAAAGTGATGAGAGGGAATTGGTCCTTTCTCTTTTTGTGGAAAGCGACGTTTCGCTCAGAGAGAGATGCACTCCGGGTGTGTCTCTCTCTCTCTCCTCTTTCTTAGTCAAACTCAGCATTGGCCTTTCATGGCAATATCCACTTCCTTTTCATTTTCAGCCTTATAAGATAATGTTCATCCCTTTGCCAATAATATGTTCATCCCTTTGCCAATAATATGTTCATCCCTATGCCAATAATATGTTCATCCCTATGCCAATAATAATAATAATAAGAAGAAGAAAAAGATGGCACTTCTAGGTCAATTTCTTTCATGACTGCTTACATTATATGTCAAATATGAGTTTGATTTTTTTACTCTAACCCCCTCATTTTTAATCCTTCATCTTTTTAATTTTTTTAACTTTAATCTTTCTTAAATACTAACATATAAAATTATTTTTTAAGTGTTTCATTTAAGATTTCGTTGTTGATAAATGCTATCATCAAAAAATATATTTTTTTTGACAAATTCTAAATCTAATCATAATCTTACTTAAAGGAGAGTAAAAAAAGGAAACTCTAAGAAAAGGAAGGGGAGTGATCCTTATAGATCTAGAACTCGTTATTTATGAGAATAAAGATGAACAACTTGCCCAACCGATCAAATATGTTTGTTCATAAAAAATAATTTTGAATGGGCAAAATATATATTCTTCACATGACATAGTAAGCTATAAAGTAAAAAATAAAAATGATGATGAAATTTCAATAGTAAAAAAGTTTAGTGGAATGAAATTTGATTAAACTGGAATATAAAGATGAAATGTAAAGGTTATGTTTAGTATAAGGATTAATATCATAATTGAGGCGGTCTTTTGTCCCCAATAAATTTGGCCCTTTGGGTTCTCTAGCTCCTCACTAGTCATCCTTTTCCTCACAGAAACAGCCCCCATAGTCATAGAGTACATCGGCTTTGCTGTCTTTCTCAAGCTGAACTCAAAGCTGTCCTTGCTTGCAAAGGGTAAATAGACTATCACCTCTCTCTCTCTCTCTCTCTCTAAGAATCTTTGGCTAACTTTACCTAAAAATGACATCAAACATACACACTCGCTTTGGGTTTTGGGTTAATCTACCAAACATACTTGTAATGTTTTTGTTTTGAGTGCAGATATGGAAACTGATATGGAACATGGAACCTGTTGGAGCTGTTTCTCTCGTGTCGTTCTCAAGTTTTCCTAGTCCCACCATCTACCTAGGTTTACCGTTTACCTGAGGCTAGGGTTGTTCAAATTTACAGGCCACTCTCCCAAAATATGTTTCCTTCAAACATCAATGGTAACAATGACCCAACCGTTTATATCGACCACTCGATTCTCCACAGGCATTTTTGTACTGATAATACCACCACCACCCCTTGTATCAAACCAGATGATCTCCCTCTTCCCTTTTTTCATTTCCCTTCTCCTTATTATAATCAATGCGAGCTAGAGCTGGAAGATCATGGTGTCTTTGGAAGCCAACACGAGCAGTCTCTTCATCAGAAAGCTATGGTGATTGATAATTCGGTCTCGGAGAGTATTTTCAATATGCCTGGCTGTGGTGATATTATGACCGATCATCGTCTGCAGCAGATGCCACGAAAGGGATCCAAGAGAGATCGGCACAGTAAGATTAATACGGCGAATGGTCCGAGAGATCGGAGAATGAGATTGTCTCTCAATGTTGCTAGAGACTTCTTTGGTCTGCAAGACATGTTGGGGTACGATAAGGCCAGCAGGACTGTTGAATGGCTGCTCATACAGGCGAGGCCTGAAATCAAGAAGCTGATGAATAGCAACAGCTTCAGCTTTGCGGGTTCAAAGAGTTCGTCTTCCACTTCCGAGGCCGAAGTGGTATCCGGAATCGACAACAACGGTGACATTGATGGAAGCATCTCCGAGGGGAAGCCTTCCAAAAAGGAGAAAAAGGAAAGACGGCAACGTAAAACCAGTTTCCGCCCTCTCGCAAGGGATTTGAGAGACAAGGCAAGAGAAAGGGCAAGGGCAAGGACAAAAGCAAAGAGCATGTTGTCCCCAAGGTCATGTAATGAAACAAGAGACAATGATCTGAACAAGTTCGGTACTTGGATTTCCTTAGAGACTGGAAAAGAATCTGGGGTTAAACTTCACAACAAGAACAATCCTTTCTCGCAGCCCTACAACTCAAAGCTTCATGGGGATCATATGATTGATGAATCCTTGTCGATTATGAATAAATGGAGCCCGAGTTTTATTTTCAATTGCCTGCAGAACACTGGAATTAACCAAGAGGTAAGTCCACTTATGGCAAAATCTTGCCATTAATCAATATCGTATAACATGTTTCCAAGATGAAGTAACTGAATCAAATCCTGATGAAACCATATATTGTTTGCAGCAGCCGCATCAGGTCACAGGCTCAGTCCTTTGGCAAACCATGGGGGGCCTGCGACAATAAGAATCCATGAACAAACGTTGGTTTTTCTATCTTATTTTCTTCGCTTGTTCTTTGTTGTGTCATGTGGAAAAATATTAGAGACATGCTATGTATTTGCTCGCGTTCTGTACCATAGACATGCTTTCCTCTTCTCCCTTTTTTGTCTCTTTGGAATTTTCTTGTGGACTTTAGCGTCAATGATTGTTGTTTATGCAATTATCACAAGATGTTTAAGATTCTTCTTTTCATTTTAAGTAATTAATCAAATAGTATATATAGTAGATAATTATTACCTTAATTAAACCTAAAAAATCAACTTAATCTCGGCATGTTCTTGATATTATACGGAGTTAAAAGTGATATTTGCATATGCCTCACTAAATAAGACTCTTGACGAAATTTGAATCTTGATGTTTGTCAAATGTGCATATTAGATATGATTTTATGCTCTCTTTCCCTTTCCAATTTATGTGAAACTTGCCCTTCTCTTGATAGTGTTATATATGCATATATATCTGCCTCACTTGTATTTTGCTCTCTCTAATAGGGGCGATGAAGTGAGTTCATAAGTTCATTCAAATGAAAGAAACTGAGAGCATAACTTTTAGGAAATGATTGAAGTAGAGATGCATGTATCATCCACTTTCCCCTTTCTATTAATGTTTTTCTCTCCACTTTGCAGGCATTTTTTTTCAAATCTATGAGGATAGATTTCAAAATATCAATCATATATTTTGATCCTAGTTAGATAAGGTGCACCAGCAAGCATATAGAAAACGTAGGGATTGCAGTGAACACACATGTATATATAATAGAATAAAATATACACTTAGTGGATGAATTAAAGATAATGGGAGCCACTCAAATGTTTCGTAAAATTAAGAAAGCAATTGGATGACATCAACTTACTGCTATGAAGAAGATAGAAACTGGTGTGCAGCTATCAAACCAACACCTGCATCCATTTATTTCTCAAAAAATCATGCAACACAAGCACTTTAAGTATACTAATTTATTAACTAATGTATGGCTATCAGTTCATATTTTCTTTTGGGAAATGGAGGTTATTCAATTGGATTTTTTGACTGAAATTAGTCTCTAAAACATTCTTTAATTTTGTTCACTTAGATATTTGGTTGTAATTGTTCTAATTATTACTTTTTCTATAAATATAAGAAAGTGAAATGATTATTATTTTGTAATTTCAATGGAAAACAAAATTAATTTTAATATTAATAATAATTTTATCAAGGTGAGTAATTTGTTCTTTGATTAGGCTTGATGAATATTTTATTATTGCATTGTTCCTCCTCAAATGTTTACTTTTTACATCACTTTTTAAATAAAATTTTTACCTTGTTGAGAATTTTTTATTTAAAGAGAGTGGGAAATAAGTACATTGTATTAGGATATATTATTTGTTAAGTTAACCATATGTTTGTTAGGTTAACTGTTTGTTTTTTTCTGTTAGCTTTGGTAGTTAGTTAGCTCATAGTGCTTGTATATAAACATCTTGATATATCACTTTTCTAATATATGAAAGATAAGAATTTCATTCTTTCATTGCTTGCTTGATTCTTATACGGTATCAGAAGTTGTCTCTTTTTCACTCTTCATCATGGCTACTTCGTTGAGTGATAGCTTCGACAATGGGGGTAATCCCTATTATTTGCATCAGTTCGATAATCCCAATGTTGTTTTGGTAACTAAACTGTTATCCAACGACAACTTCCATACCTGGAAACGTTCGGTGGTGCTTGCTCTCTCTGTAAAGAACAAACTCAGATTTGTTGATGGTTCTATTGCAACTCCTGATCCATCCATGGTAGATCAGTTTAATGCTTGGACTCGAGCCAATAATTTGGTGAATTCTTGGATTCTGAATTCAGTTTCCAAAGATATTGTTGTCATCTTGCTTTATCTCACTACAGCGATAGAGATGTGGAAATAATTGATTGATCATTTTCAACAGTCGAATGGACCACTCTTATTTCAGTTAAAGCAACGGTTGTGCGAGCTTGTGCAAGATCAAATGTCAGTGAGTACCTATTATATTCAATTAAAAATCATTTGGGATGAATTATTTTCGCTCAAACAAGTTATGCAGTTGTCTTCATTGTACTTGTGGAGGACTACAACGCATGGTTAATGAGCAACAACAAAAGCATGTCATTTAGTTTTTAATGGGTTTAAATGTGTCTTTTTCTCATGTACGAGGGCAAATTCTTTTTATGGATCATTTACCGCCTAAGAAAATCAAATAAGTGTGCAGACTGCTCATCCCATTTCTGAACATACTTTTGCTCTCAAAACTCAATCTGGTAAACGCAAGAACATGGCTTTGTGCAGTTATTGTAACATTATTGGTCACTGTTGGAAAATCCTTGGTAAGGAGCTAAGGTAGTGCATGTAGACTTGGTTGAAAAGTCGAACCACTATAAATCATTGTGCAATTCTCTATCTTTCAATCTCCTTACTCCCTAAACACAAAAACCGTTCCGACCCCTCCTTGCAAATCGTTCCGGTTATCGATTCGAGCTTCCGAAAATCCCAACAATTGGTATCAGAGACTAACTCGTTAAAAGGCTTAACATTCTTGAGACGATCCTCAAAGAAGCTCTAACAATTTCCAACGCAACCAATAAAGAAATTATTTTTTCCTCTGGTGCTTATTACCTTGAAGATTATCCTATTATGGATTCACAACCGGTCAACAAGCCACCCTCCTTCAATGGAGCAAATTATGCACATTGGAAGAATGAGATGATGCACTTTATTCAATCCTACAATCTAGGAGCTTGGAACTCAATCATGGATGGTTACTTCTCTCCACCCGGCAAGTACAACGATTGGAGTAGATAAGAGCATAAAAATTTCCAGCTTAATTATAAGGCTATACATATTCTATTATGTGCTTTAGGCCCAAATGAATATGGAAGAATCTCATCTTGTTCTATTGCCAAAGAGATTTGAGATAACCTCCAAGTCACTCATGAAGGAACCGATGAAGTGAGGGAATCAAAGAAAAGTCTTCTCAACCAAAACTACGAGAACTTCAAGATGAAACCCGATGAAAACATCAAAGCTATGACGGATAGATTTTCCATGATTGTCAACGGTCTCAAGGGATATGGGTACTGATCACCCATTTGACTAGGTACCGATATCCCTAGGAGGGTACCGATACCCTCCACGGGTTCTGGTTATTAACACCAAAATAACACTCTTTCTCTTAAAACCCTTTCTCCTCTCTTCACGCCGTGCGTCTCCCTTCAAATATCCATTTTGCCAAAATCTTCAAAAACAAGTCAGATCAACTTCAATTTTCAACTCCTAAACCTGCTAACATCATTAATTTCGTGCAAACAACATCAAAATCAACTAAATCTTCACTTTTCAAGAATTTTGCTAAACCCACTATTTTATTGATTTTGAACATAATACTAGTTTTAATTAGTTCTAGGTTGAAATAAACATTGAGCATTGCTTAGATTTTGGTTTAGAACTATAATCTACAACTAATTTAATCAAAAACACAAGATTTTTCAAGATTTTTTTAAAAATTTCGAAATTAAAAAAAAATTGGTTTTGTTTTTAAATTGTAGTTTTTGATTTAATTATGTTGTTTTCATAAAAAAATTTATATATATTGATTTTCAAACCTTGATTTCAAACTCGGTTTTCAAAAATTGCCCATTAGGATTATTTTAGAGAACCTTGAAATAATGAGGACTCATTTGAGTTTTAGGATTGATATTATTGCATACATGTGTTTTAAAATTGCAAGTTAATCTTTTCTATTCTGATTTCCTAAGTAATGTCTCAAAAAAGCCCTAGAACATCCTCTAGTCGTTCAAACCAACTGCCAATCCCACCTCTAAATCCTCCTCCTATCCAACAATTTCCTAATCCCGATGATCATAATATGACTATTCGTGATTCATGCTTCAATGAACCTGGTCGTAGACAAAATCTCTTCTTCAGGTATTCTCAATATTTTGAGTCATACAAAATCTGGGAGGAACGAATCCCATCTCTTCAAGCTATGTTAGAAATAGATTTTAGATATCTTTCTACCCTACGAGAGTGGAAATTTGATAAACTTTTTGAACTTGAACCAATAGTTTATCATCAACTTGTTCGAATATTCTATTCCAATGCCATTTGTGTCCAAAACCAGGATAAAACCGAAACCATAGGAATTAGATCATACCTTCTAGGAAAATTCATCTATATTGACCCGGAATACATAGCTAGTGCATTTGGATTAGATAATGTCGGCTTAGCCAATGAAAAACAAACGTTAGGTCCTCCTTATAAAAGAAAGGAGAGTGCGAGTGTATTAGATCTTCATGATCGTTTTCTTCATCTTATGATCTCTTGGTGGTTTCGACCATCCATAGGAAAATACTCCACTCTTAGAGCCTTAGATCTTTGGTGGATACATTGTATCTAAAACAATAATAAAATAAACATACCTCAGATTATCTTTGTTGAAATTGTTGAAACCGTAAACCTTGTCCCTAATAAGAAATCTGTTCATCTCTAGTTTAAGGTTGTATTCTAAGTAATCTATTTGCCAAAGTCGAGCTTAGGGTAAGCCTTGATGTCGTCTCTCAAAAATTAAATTAACCTCATTTCCTTAACAAAATCGGGATGGATAAAGGATAAGAAAACCGAGAAATGGGTTCGATCTGCTGAGCATACACCAGGAGCTAGTTTTTCAAGAACTCCACGGGCACCGAGAGCGGACGATGATCCCGAACTTCAACAGCTGATGCAAGACATTGACGAAGTTCCCGACGATGAGCCGAAGCAACACGAGGAACAAGCACAACAAGAGGATCAAATGCCTCCATATATTCGATCTTTTATGGAGACATTCGACTTCCGGTATGCATCAATGGATTCACGGTTTACATCCATGGAGTCCCATTTATCTGCTCTGTAGACTCAACAATTGGAGAATCAACAAGAAATTTGGGCTAATCGTGAAGCAATGGATAATCGATTCAATGTTATAGACGATGGACTTGATGCTCTTACACGAGATGTGGACAATATATGGACACATTTATCTCCTCCTGATCCTCCAATGGAGTAGACCTTGCCTAGTTTTGATTTTTTTTTTGCTTTAGATTTAGAACTTTGAATTGATAAACATTTTGATGTGTTTGGATTGACTGTTTGAATTTGTTATGGATGTTGAATGTTTAACTTTTAAATGCTTATATTTA